CCCCCAAAACCCCAAAACCCCAAAACCCCAAAACCCCAAAACCCCGGAATATTTATCATAAATAGAGATATTCAAAAATGTCTTCCGCAAATAAGCTGGATAGTATTTATAGCCTTCTAACTCAAGGTCTGAAGTGACCTTTTGTAATATATTGTTTTATTAGTTATAGATTTGTTGTGAGGAAAACTCTAAAATAGCTCCACCAACAGAAAACCAGCTAGAGAGTCTTGAACAACAGTTAGACCCAGAGGAGAAGGACATTTTGGACAATTACAGAATTCAAACAGGCAATATCATTAACTACATGCTACCATATGTATTGCCTACAGATCAGAGGCTTCAGCTATTAGAGTGGCTATTTGAGCAGAATGAGCCTGACATCTTTAAGGCGGATGGTTTCCTTGACTCTGATAGTTGCAAGTTAAGCAATCTTGAACTAGCATGATCTCAGTTTGGAATCAAGGGGCAAACCAAAAGATCCCTCAATAGTAGTATTCAAGGAATCAATGGGATTACTGAGGCGATTAATTTCCTTTTCGAAGTCACAGAAGTCACCAGGCAACTTCTACTATTTGAAAATCTGGAAAATTCGCAACAACAGATTGATAGGAACAATCAGCTGATGAATTTCATTGCAGGTGATTTTCTTCATACTAATTTTTAGGCAACTCAAATCAGGTTTTTACAACTGAAGTGAGACTCTTCTCACCTGGATTTCTCAAACTCGATGACCTGCAATATGAAAGCAAGGAAAAACTCAGCGAAGCTAAAGACAGCCTCGAGCAACACGTAGATCAGCTAAGGCATGATTATGAACAACTACAGCAAACTATTGATAAGAAACTCGCAGTAAATGCTACTGATTCTGATTTTGAAGCTCTTGAGTCTTCACTTAAAAAGACCAGAAGCTGAGTATGTCCTACTCTTAAAATATAGGTAGTAGAGTTTAAACAAGAGTGAGAAGCAGGGTTAAGAACAAAGCTTAATAAGATTAACGAAAATAGCTTATCAGGTGTTGAGCCGTTGGTTGAGCAGGTTTATGAAAAGAGACAACAGATCGATCCAATCTCATCAAATCTTAGACAAATCTTGGCAACTTTGAATGAGCTACAAACTTAGATTTTATTGTAATTTCAATGGGTTCTCTTCATTTTGGGGTTTTGGGGTTTTGGGGTTTTGGGG